AAGCTCCACATTGTTCATTGTTTCATTTAAAATTCTTGAGTCATTAGCTGACCCTTCCCACCCTGTTAGTACATAAGTGAATTTTATATTAGACGAGCAAACACATATGACATTTTGAGTTGTATCATTTTTTCTCCCATGAAATGGCATTTGCATAACAGTCGGCACGTGTGCATGGATGTAGGTTCCATCTATGGCTCCGACACAATCTCTAAAGAATGGGTAATATTTTAGATTGAATCTAATCTCTAGAGGAGTGACAGTTAAGTCAGGTGGGACAATGACCTTCGTGCCTAGCTTACAAACTTTATTTAAGACCTTATGGAAATGTATTAAAATTGTCCAAGTTGAGTGCTAGAATCTTTCGGCCACCACACGGTTCCTTTCATTATGTTCCAGTGTAAGTAGGAAGATTGCAACTTGTTCTTGAACAGTTAAAAATCTTGGTTTCAATCCTAAAGATTTCAACTCCTCGCACAATGAAATGAAAACAGGGGGGTACATCCTAAAGTTCTGATAGCATCTATCAGGGTGACTAGTTAAAACCTCTATTATGTAGTCTTGACCTTTTAAACAGGAATCCCTACATGGTCGTCTATTGTAATACTTTGCATAATAGTTAAACACAATGTCCATCAACAATAAATTTTCGTTGTCTTGTTCATCAGAATCAATCAACTCAATTAATGTCTTACATCCATTTATAGAAACCTATTTTAATGGAAAACAAAGATATCACATCATGACAACATACAAGTTATAATAAGAACATTAAAAATTACAAGGCCAATAATTAAAACAGAGCAGTAAGTAACATATAAAGGGTTAAAAAAATTGATGATAATTAAAGCAAAAGTAAACAGTCAACATAGCAGTTTTAGACAATGAATACATAAAACATAGCAGTTAATACAATCATCCAACAAAAAAGTTAAACATAGTTATTACAGTCATCCGGGAAAATAAAAGAAATAACAGTTATACAGTTATCTAAGTTTTAAAACAAACAGACAACTGAAGAAGTACATCAACCAAGAACGTTAAGGCCCATCACCCATCCCACTTTCCTATCATCAGGAATGCTAAGAAAGATATCCCTCCATAATAGTGAGTCATGGAACATTGCTATGGCCTTATTGTAATCGACTGTATCAAGTACTTCCAATTTAGTCATAACCCTAATGCAACCTTGAACTTCTTCCCTATCCTTGTTCCTTAGGGTGGGGAGTTACAATCACCTACCTTACGGGATCCTACACGATTGGAAAAGGTAGCAGCTATGGCTTTTCTATTGTCTCAGCTGGAAACTCTTTGAATTCTCAATCATGGCTACCATGACTGCAGACATTGTGGATGCAAAACCATATTTCCTAGCTTTCCTAGGTCGAGGTTCAGGTGATGGAGTCCTCTCTTTACCTTGTACATCATTTCCTTCCTTATTGATAGTATCATCAAGAGAATTAATGTGAGCCATATTTGTGGGTACATGCGACGTTGTGTGAGATCTAGTAGAAGGACGGACTTGAGATCCTGTTGCATGTGTGTCTCCAAAGATGGTAGACAACTTGTCAAAGTGCTTACAACCCTTCTTGCGAATTTTTTTCCCATATTTAAGAACCTACATGTTATAATGAGCTTATTATAAAAACATGTGTATCCTAAAAACAATAAAATAATACTACAACAGATTGCATTATTTATCCCTAACCTTTGACAACCTTTCGCATCTCTCATCTTCCATTACAATCATTCCACTCTTAACATAGCATTATAGCCCACACGTCTCAGACAACAACTTTTTGAAATCTTTCTGTATTGCCCTCAATTGGTTGAATTTATTTCTAAGTTGTTTAATGGTGTATGTTTTGCCTGTTTCAACCATCATTCCTTCCGTTATCTTTCTCCACCCAACATTGTTAAAAGTTGCATTTGTACGATTTCCTTGCCTAACCTCTTCCCCCATCAGCAAACTGAATTTCTCTTCCGAATAGTCATCCCAAATATTTTTCCCATCATTTGTCGTGTCTATCATATCTACTTGCACCTCATCACCCAAGCTCATTTCATTGGCATATTCATATAGATTATTTGGATTAAGATCCATCTAACAAACATAATGGTTGTAAAAGTATAATCAGAAATATTATTTTACTGAAAACCAATCAGAAAAGATTTTTAAATGAAAAAAAGTTACAAGTTAGAAGTCAGTTTGCATATAGGTAACATGATACACAGTTTAACAAATAGATCAATTGGGTTTCAATTCAGGTTGCATATAGTTTTACACAAAAACTGAAGTTCAGTAACCAATGACAATATATTTTTAAATGAAATAAAGTTACAAGTTGGAAGTCACTTTGCATATAGGTAGCATGATACACAATTTTACAATTTGATCAATTCAATTTTCATATAGTTATACACAAAAGATGAGTTTCAGTACATATAAAAAGTATAAGAAGAAATATTATTTTACTGAGAACCAATCATAAAAGATTTTTAAATGAAAAAAAGTTACAAGTTGGAAGCCAGTTTACATATAGGTAGCATGATACACAGTTTAAACAACTCGATCAATTGGGTTTCAATTCAGTTTGCATATAGTTCTACAAAAAAAACTGAGGTTCAATAACCAATGACAATATATTTTTAAATGAAAAAAAGTTACAAGTTGGAAGTCACTTTGCATATAGATATCATGATACACAGTTTTACAGTTTGATCAATCAGTTTCGATTAAGTTTTCATATAGTTATACACAAAAACTCAGGTTTAGTGCAAATAAAAAGTATAAGAAGATATATTATAACTCTTTCTGAGAACCAATCAGAAAAGATTTTTAAATCAAAAACAGTTATAAGTTGGAAGTCAGTTTGCATATAGGTAGCATATGATACACAATTTTAACAAATAGATGAATTGGGTTTCAATTCAGTGCATTTTGTTGTACACAAAAACTGACTTTTAGTAACCAATGACAAAAGATTCTTACATCAAAAAAAGTTACAAGTTGAATCAAAGTAACCAATTTGTAATTTCAACACAAACAAGATCATTATACACAACATATAAAAAATGAATCGAAGTAACCAATCTGTAATTTTAGAAGTAGGGTTTCCAAATGGAAGACAGAAAAAAACCCAACGTTATACACAACATTAAAAAATGAATCGAAGTACCAAAACTGTGTAATTTTAGAAGTAGGGTTTCCATTTGGAAGACAGAAAAAATAAAAACCCAATTTTATACACAACATAAAAGAAAAATTAATCCAACTAACAAATCTGTAAATTCAGAAGTAGGGTTTCCAAATGGAAGACAAAAAAAAAAAAAAAAAAAAAAAAAAAAAAAAAAAAAAAAACCCAAATTTATACACAACATAAAACAAAAATTTATCCAACTAACAAATCTGTAAATTCAGAAGTAGTGTTGAAATTCTTACTTTTAGGACGAATTCAATGCCAGTGACAATGTCATGCCACTGCAACACTCATACTCTATAAACGAACAACCCAACACCAACACAAAAAATGAATCGAAGTGCCAAAAATGTTAAAAACAGTTGAAATTTAATTTCAGAAGTAGGGTTTCCAAATCGAAGACAGAAATAGACCCAAAGTTGTACACAACATAAAACAAAATTGAATCAAAGTACTAGAGCTGAAATTTCAGAAGAAGGGTTTCCAAATCCAAGGCAAAAATAAACCCAAAATTATACACAACATAGTAAAATATGAATCGAAGTAAGAAAACTTGAATTCCCGAAGTACGATATTTAGATCCATGCACAAATTCAACCCAAAATAAGACACAAGATAATAAAATTTGAATCAAAGTGACAAAACTTGAATTTCTGAAGTATGGTTTCCAGATCCAAGCACAAATTGAACCCAAAATTATACACAAGATAAAAAAAATATGAATCAAAGTAACAAAACTTGAATTTCCGAAGTACGGTTTTCAGATCCAAGCACAAAATTCAATCCAAAATAAGACGCAAGATAATAAAATCTGAATCGAAGTGACAAAACTTGAATTTCCGAAGTACGGTTTCCAGATCCAAGCACAAAGTCAACCCAAAATTATACACAACATGACAAAAACCTCATCCAAGTAACAAAACTAAAACCCTCAGCACTAGGGTTTCAGATCGAAGCAGAAAAACTAACACGAAATAGGAAAAAAATATCATCAAGACGAAGAAGAAGAGGAACAAGAACATAATGGAGTTATGTTTACATTGGAGCATGCAAGAACGTCGTTTGTAGCGACGGGATGGTTGAAGCTCTGTGCACAGTGGAATCGTCTCCAAATCGCCCTAAGGTTCGCTCTTGTTGCTTTCAAGATTTGTGGCTGGATATGGAATAATTGCTTTAAGTATTTGGGCCCAATGACACTAATGGACTATAGTGCAGGAAACATTTTACCTCTACAGTGCTGGAATCAACAAGAAGCATCATTTTGATGCTTCTAAAAATAGGCCCATTTTCAGAAGTGATTCAGCCCTGTCTGGAAGCGTAGCAGTTTTCACCGAACATGCTTTGAGCCAGAATTCCGCTACAGTAACTGGCCCCAAAGCAAAAAACATGTGGCAGAAGCAGCCACCAAACATGCCCTTAGCTAAAGGGTTTCCATTTTTATTTGCAGTAGAACAATAATAAGAAGCTGCACAAAGTTTAAATTTTCTTTTCCTTTCCATCCTCAGCTGTCTCAGCAAGAACAGGTTAAACTATAAAACAAATACAAATAAAGGAAGCGGGTACGATCTGTGGTGATATCAGAGCTAACTACTCTAATTTATATAAGAATTCATTATTACCTATATACAAGAAACTAATTTAGGAAAAATATATACAAGAAACTAGTAATTGACTTCACAGTCGCACATTTTTTATATTTATCATTTACGTTAAAAGAGGTCAAGAAATTCAAAGACTTCTGATTTTGACGAACACAAACATTGAAAACATATACCGCTCATGGATGCAGCAGAAAACCCAGAGAAGAAAACTAGTTCTATACTTCGTATTTTTCCCTTATATTCATGTCATTGCAATTAAAGTAATTTACATTGAATTGCAATATCAGTATGAAATCTACATATTAATCATTACATAGAGGAATGAATTATTAGAGTTGTGTTCAATAAAGAACCTTTACGTACATTAGTTACACTTGAATATAAATATACATGAGCTATCAGAAATTACTGTTCATTTTTCCTTGGAGACCGTCCCCGGAAGTTTAAAGGTTGGAGGCTTATCAACACCCTTTCTTGAGTACTCTCTCCATCGTCTAGCTGCTGCAGCAGCTCTTTTTGCTCTCTCTTTCACTTCTTCCTCTGCAACAACAATTTACAACATCATTTACACCTTATGAAATTTATTTTGATAGAAGGTAAACGAGGAACACTAGTTGTAATAGAAGGTAAATGGGATGAGGTTATTAAAAATGATTTTAGAAAGTCTCCACTGCCATTACCAACTCCTCCACTTCTTCTGGAAACTGCACAACACACCAGCTCTCTTAATATTCTATTTCAAAAACAGGGCAATTCTCCCTCTAAATTTCTCTAAAAATCAAAAACCTCTGTGTACATACTACATTTTCACTTCCAAAAATCAGTAAAAACATTTCTCCTTACATGTTCTCTCTAAAAGAATTATCCTCTAGTTTTTGTCTATAAAGAACAAACTAAATTTCTCTCTAGTTTCTCCCTAAAGAATAAGACCAATGTCTTCTATCTATTTTTTTTCCCCACTAATTTGTCTTTTATTTAATTTTTTTCTCAAAAAAAACGAGGAAAAAAAAAAAAAAAAAAAAAAAAAACAAATATAAAACCATATTTTCTCTGAAGTTTCTTTTGAAAACAAACTGAATTTTCTTCCAGTTATCTCGCATTAGGTTATTCTACCCCTTACGAACTAGCAGACCTCTTTTTCAGCTAAGCAGACAACTCAGATCAGTATTATTCTCCCTTATGCTACTCCATGGACAACCCCTCATGTTGATTGCCAATCTCACATCTTGTACAAAGGACTCATATGCTGAGTATTGCAGCATATATTCAGCAAAAATAACAGGAAAAAAATATATATATATATATAATCAAAGCAGACAAAAAATAACACCCAAGTTTTATGTGGTTCGATGAAAACAAGCCAGCATTCACTGGGTGTGATCCAATCTTTTTTACGATGACAAAACTGAGGATAACCAGACAAGCATACTAAAGACCAAATTTAATCCCAAAACAAAGCCTTGAAACCCTTGTAAACCCCTTTCGACTCTGGAATGAAAGAAGACTTATCACCTAACCCTGTTTTTGCTATTATAAAAGATCGTCCCCAACTTCCCAGTTATAATGTTTTACCTAGACCTAGCTTCCTAAGAAAAATTTTAACTCCTGTGGAAGCTAAGATTCCTCCAGTACCTTAAGATAAAAAAAACAATTCAGCAGCTGAGAAAATGACATTACCAAAAAAGTCTCTACCTGGGTTTTTATCACAGCCTCCTTGAACATTACCTGTGAGGATTAACTTACTGCAGTTGCAGCTCCTCATCTTCATCTAAGATTCTAATGCCCACACCATAGGATACTCCCATCAATTTTCTAAACTACGAAAGATTTATCAAGACCAAGCAAATACTTGCACTTCTATATGATCACTGCCTTTGAACACATCAGACAGCATTTTCCTCATTGTAAATATTCATAAAACTTGCCATCCCTTCTTCAATTCATTTCCTGATCATGTGATATCTCACATCAATGGCTTTTTTCCTGACATTAGACACTTGTTAACCAAGTGTATATAACTTTGACTATCAAAATAAAGCTCCAAGATTTTTGTGCTTTAATAAGACTTCTTTGACCAAACCTGTCAATCAGAAGGCCTCCATGGCAGCTAATTCATGATGCCATTTATTTTATGCAAGGAATATTGTCCACCTAATTATCTTGGCAATTATCATCGGACTCGTTTTGTGGAAACCGAGCTTACTGTCGTATGGCCCCTCTTAGTGCAATGCACAGCCTCCATTAATCATTGACATCTGTAATTCTTATTATTTCAGAGGATATCACAAAGAGACCCACCTTCAATGACAAGTTTTTGCAATGTCAATCTCATTATGTGCACCTGCAGTAGCTCTTGGTACTCAGAAAAGATGAGAAAAGGTAAATCGATTTATGAGGAAGCACCTTTTTACCATAAATTTGTACCAAGACTAGCTTCCCAAGTTATTCTCTAGTCATTGCTTCTCTTAGGTTGATAGAACTTGAGTTGGCAAATTTCTTTGAACAAAACTAGAGTCTGTAACTTTTGTTTTCATTTCTAGTTTAGATATGAAATTTCAGAAGTTAATGTTAGTTGATACCTCCTACTCATGGTTGAAGAAAGCAGAAGCTACACTCAAGGTTAATTGCGTAATCCTCTTCCACAAAGGTAAAAAGTTAAATTGACACATTGATTCACTCACCAAATTAGGTTTCAGGAATATATAAAAAGGGTTTCTAATTTTTACATGTTCTAATCTGATTTGATTCCCTATATCTTTTTATATATGCATACAAGTGTTGCTTGCAGTACACTTCAGATCTACCGAAGTGTCGATGGAGGACCACCAGAGCGATCAACATCAGTCTGGCCATGCAAAAATTAACTTTTCTTCTAAAATTAAAACACGAGAAACCCTACCGTCTGTATACTTCTATTTTCCCTATATATATACCATGTATATGCAAAGAATACATACAGTGAGCATTACTGTGAGTTCTAGTATGCATCATATTTTATTTTGCATTCTATCATTCTTAGAATTGGTGAGTGCGTTTCAGTGTGTTTATATCTATCACTAGAGACTACAAGTGAAGAGTTCAACATAATAATTAAATTTTCGGAGATCGAACCTGATGATTAAAGGTTGAGACTAATTCACTGGTGGAGAACTAGATTCGTGAGGAGTTAGGTCTGTAGACGAGCGAATTGTGTGCACCAGGAGTTTCTAGTTTGTGCCAAGGTGGTAACTAGGAGTTTCTTGGGTTTGGGGAAACATCTAGATTGTAATCCCTCTTTCTCATATTGGATTCAGTTTGCCTTGACTAGCATCAGTGGTTTTTCCCATCTCTGTTTTCCACGTAAAAGATCTTTGTTTTTTATCAGTTTATTGAATCTGCATGCATGAATGAATGATTGATTCATTTTTTTATTTTCTGGTATAAATTGAATTTAAAGTTCTGTTAAGTTAGTTAAAATTCTGTCCTTCCAACAACAAAAAAAATTGTATACAGTACTTCGTAAAATTTTCTCCACATTATAGAGGCTTATTTCAAGTCATCTCTGTCTAATTTATTTTTTTAAGAATGTCAGTTAAGATCTGAAGGCAATGAGATGCTTTTTAAGTTTGTTCTCAGTCAAATTTCACCAGAAACTCGAAATTTACAAGTAAATTATTTTCTCAATTAGAAAGTCCTTCACATGTATTACAATGCCGATTTCAAGAGAACGTAATATATAAAATAAAATTAAAAAAAAAATATTACAATGTAGCACAAGCACAAAAATGCAACAAAAACTTTGCAATTTTTAAAGAAAACCCAAATTCCAAGGCGGACCAATGGCTGGATTTCCAGCTAGCACTGTGATAAAACAGACTGTCTAACACACCATAAAAAATAAACTAAAACAGCACATATTGCTTCTGCCATGACTGAGGACCAAAAGACTTGTGGAAATTCATAATGTCAAAAATACTCAAAACATGTAGAAAAGATATCATGACGAAACCATGAGATGAAATCATCAGAGAACAAGGCATGTTCCCACGGTGCGGACACTGCTGATTCCGAAACCATATGTGACATTGTGAGAAAATTAGTTTAAGTATTTACAAATTTTCAGTGTCAAGTTATGTTGATCGAGTTATAATTTTATATTTAAGTTCAGTCTCAATCATGGAAGCCAAACAACAAGCATCTCTATACAATCGGATCCGATTTAGACATCACTTAGAACAGGTAGTATATGTGTCATCATTTTAAACAGCTAGTGTATGTGTGAGAGCACTTGTTACACCGAGTTGGGTTGAAAAAGGTTCTAGAAGACATGCTTAAAAATTCCAAAAATTAATTTTCAGAATTTTCCAACTGGTTGGTTTGGTAAGGTTTTAAGCTCCTGAGTATTTCCCAATTGGTTGAAAATTTGCCAACCGGTTGTTTTGCTCTCGGAAGTTCAGGTTTCTGAACTACTGAGAGTGTCCCAACAGGTTGGACATATTCCGCAAATTCATCTCAAAACTACTGAGTGTCCTTTTCAATCCCCAAAACTCTTGAGATGTCCAATAAAATTTTAACATCATTTTTCCATCTTTTATTTGGACTCTCTTGTCTATAAAAATTCCACTATTATCCTACTCTTTAATACCTAGAGATACACAAGGTTAATTCACCATTGAATAAGTTTTGAGTGAGTTTTCGTGAGTTTTATTTATTCGAGAGCATGCACTTATATACGAAAGTGTTTTAGGTGATTTCTTCAAGTGATCGACAGTTAGAGCTTATCTACAGATCATCTTATTCGATTAGAGAATCAATTTTTCCTTACATCTTCGCCATTGTGAGTGTACAGAAATCAATCCCTACAAGGGGACCAGATTATTCGCGGAGTGATCATATTCTTCCAGCAACCCGTCTGCAAGATATGAGAAGTAAGACCGGAATCTGTAACAACTGAATGTGCAGCTTCAGGAGTAACACTGAGGTGTTTAGTGACTAGATTTTGGCAGAGTGTAGTGGTTGTGAGACTCACAGACAGAGTGGTGTGCTTTGCTTCGATATAATGGAGTTTTTGCCCGAGACAGCTAGTCTCTATGGTTTTTCCTTGCTGAGGTTTTCCCCATTAAAAATCCTAGTGTCATCTCTTATTGCTTTATTTTACTACTTTATATTTATTGCTTTGCGTGGTTGAAATGTTATGTAATTTGTTGAAATTAAAATAATCTGAAAATAAATTAAAAGAGCAAGCTAGACCTATTATTCACCGCCCTCTACGTCATTCATATGAGATCAAACTTCCACACCACATCTACATTGCTCAACTCTCAGACATGGACGCAAGAGAGAGAGAGAGAAAGAGAGACACAGACAGACAGACAGAAATCTGCCAAACTGTAAAGAGCACCACAAGTTTTAGTTAAGGTTCAAGCAACTTTTATCTTGCCACAACAGGAACATTTGACTCTGTAATGAAGAACATATGCCTACAATGTATACAACAATGAACTATATAACTTTTAGAAAATTATTGAGAGAAAAATAAAGCACATAAATTTATACGAAATATGATATTTCAAGCATAAAAATGAAAAGTAAAAGCATGGAAAGACTGTTTTAATCTTTTCCAACATCAGTTCTCAGAACTGAGTAATTTCCTTTAATTAAATACCTCTTACCTGAATTTTGGTATTCTTGGGGCTTGCCCCAAAGGTTGCTCCAGTAGGATTCAGTTTTATCAGAATCTTTCTGCTTCATCATCCTCCATTTAGCTTGCGCCTATAACAATTTTAGAAGTTGTCATTGTTAAAACTAATTTTCAGATTTATATTAGTCAATGTCCATGCATGTCAAGAGACTCAAGACTATATCTATCATATAAAAGAAACAGAGCATCATTAAGAGTTCGCAATACAACAACAACAACAACAAGCCTTTTCCCCAACTCTTGGGGTCGGCTGCATGAATCCTATGTTTTCATTTGGCTATGTCTAAGGAAATAACCTCAGTCAAACCACAAGCTATCGTATCCTTCTTTACTAACTCTACCCATGTTAACTTTGGTCATCCTCTTCCCCTAGTAGACTCAATGTGGACTGTCATTCTTTCCTAATCGGCGCATCTAAAGGTGTTCTTTGCACATGTCCAAACCATCTTACAAGTTTTCTCTCATTTTATCTCCAATTTTTACTACTCCAACCATGTGGTCATTTCAAATTCTATCCTTTCTAGTTTTACCGCAAATTCATCTCAACATTCGCATTTCTGCCACACTCACTTTATGCATAAGTTGTTTTTCCTAGTTGCCCAAAATTCTTTACCATAAACTATGGCTATTCTAATAGCGGTTCGATAGAACATCTCTTCCAATCTTATGGGGATTTCTTATCACACAATATCCTAAATGCACTCCTATACTTAACACATCATGCCTTGATGCCTTGATTTTACGATTAACATCATCTCCAATTTCTCCTTCGTTATGAATAATTGAACCTAAACAACGAAAATTTTCACTTTATTGTAACTCTTGATTCTCAATCATCACTACACCCCCTTTTTTATTTCTAGATTTACTAAAGTTATGCTTCGAATTTTAGAGCTCGTTTTTTTTTTTTTTTTTTTTTTTTTTTGGTAAGTAAGAAGCAAATAAAAAGGCGTTCAAAAGGGGAATGCGTCCCAAGTACAAAAATGGAACTGGGGGCTAAGGCCCCAAAGAATCCAAGAAAATAATTAAATCATTGGAAGAGGAGCAAGAACTCCTCTTGACATAATTGAAAAGAGAGCGAATAATATAAAAAGTATCAGCGTCGCGTAAACGACTGCTTCCCTTCGAACATTCTGCTATTTTTCTCCTTCCAAATGCACCACCAAACGCAATGTAGGACAACTCTCCAGTAATCGTGTACATCACGACATCCTCTCCAAGCATGAATCAAATCCTTAGAAGAACGTGGCATTACCCAACGCATGCCAAACAACCCAAGAATAAGATTCCAACAGTCATGCACCACGGGGCAATGCATGAGGATATGATCAACTGACTCACCATTTTGCTTGCATAGGCAACACCAATTGACAAAACAATTTTTCCTTTTCCTCAAATTATCAATCGTCAATATCTTACCCCAAACAGCAGTCCATACAAAGAATGCCACCCTAGTTGGAGCCAGAGAACGCCAAATGGTCTTCCACGAAAAGTCAAAGCTATCAAAATTAGATAGACATAGGAACAAAGATCGCACTTCAAAGCGACCATGGGAAGAGGGAATCCATGTCAGATCGTCACTACCTCTGCCAACTCCTTCCTGCGGATACAACTGATCCAGGAAAACACAAACCTCGTTCAACTCCCAATCCTGAAAGGAACGTCGAAAGTGTACGTTCCACGTAATCCTACTACAATCAAGCCGATAACAGCCAGCTACATAGGCGTGTCTATCAACTGCAATACTATATAGTCTGGGAAATGTACGAGATAATGGCTAATCACCACACCAAAGATCTTCCCAAAAACGAACACATCTGCCATTCTCCTGTAATAAGAACTGAATCAAGATTGGTTAAAAGGAACCAGTCTTCTGATACCAAGACCACCCAACTTCATAGGCTTGCAAACTTGCTCCCATCTAACAAGGTGATACTTAAACTCTTCTCCCCTTTCGCCCCAAAGAAAATCCCTTTAAATTTTTTAAATACCCAAATAAGGAATAGGAAAAGAACTCACCCTACAACCAAAGACTACAGCTAAAGAAGAAATATCTAGAACATTCCCTACCGGGACAAGCATGCTCTTAACCACGTTGACCTTCAACCTGGAAACCGCCTGAAAACAAGCCAAGATACACCTCAAATATCTAAGTTGAGACACATCAGCATCACACCAGGGTATCGTCCGCAAAAAGTAAATGAGAAATCTCCACGTGATGGACTAAATCTCTTCCCACCTTGAAGCCCTTAATAAGACCAAGATCCTTTGCCCTTCGCATAAGTCTACTTAACCCTCCATAACAATAAGGAAAAAAAAAAAAAAAAGACGACAATGGATCTCCTTGTCTTAAACCCCAAGAACACCCAAAAAAACCAGCGGGAGATCCGTTCACAAGAACTGAGAACTTGACTAACGAGAGACATGTCTCAATCCATTTCCTCCATCTACTTCCAAACCCCATTCTTTGCAACAAATAAAGTATGAAATTCCAATTCACATGATCATATGCTTTCCCAATATCAAGTTTGCATAAAAATCCAGGAACACCACTACGCAACCTGGAATCCACACATTCTCCTGTAATAAGAACTGAATCAAGAATTTGCCGGCCTCCGACAAAAGCATTCTGGGAATCTGAGATAATCCCATCCATTACTTCCCTCATCTTTAGAGCAAGCACCTTAGCCATGAGTTTATAAATAGAACCCACTAAGCTAATTGATCTAAAATCCTTAATGTCAAAAGCGCCTCCCTTCTTAGAGATAAGGGCAATACATAAGGCATTTAGCGACTTTTCAAAGACGCCAGTAGCATGAAACTCCTGAAATGTACCCATCACCTCATTTTTCACTACTGCCCAACTTTCCATAAGAAAACGCATAGTAAACCCATCAAGTCCCGGAGCTTTGTCCCCGTTACAACTAGATAAAGCCTTTAGAACTTCGTCTTTAGTAAAAGGAATCTCAAGCCCATCTCTATCCAACTCAGAAATAGCCTCAAAATAGAGACCATCAAATTTGGGTCTCCAGGCTAACGGCTCGATGTAAAGCTTCTGATAAAAAGAAACGATCCCATTACGCACCTCTTCCTCCCTCCACAACTCCACACCGTCCATCCGAATTCGTCCTATGTGATTACTCCTTCTGTGAGCATTAGCTAATCTGTGAAAAAAATTTGTGTTACGATCTCCCTTTTTTAGCTAAAGAGCCCGGGATTTTTGTCGCCACAAAATCTCCTCCATACTAGCAATCTCAACAAGAACTGCTTGACAGGAAGCTCTCCTAGAACGTAGAGACTCCATTTCCTTGCCCGCCTCCTCAAGACGATCAATCTCGGAAAATTCAGCAAGGACTCTATTCTTCCTCCATTCAAGATTCCGAAAAACATCCTTATTCCACTTTTTAAGATCGAATTTGAGAGCTCTTAACTTCTTTGTTAACATAAAGCTGGGCGAACCTGTAACTATTGCTCCCTCCCACCAAGAACGGATATTCCCTTGGAAATCCTCCGCTCTCAGCCACATTCTCAAATCGAAACGGGGATCTTCGAGAACGCAAACCCCCACAATCCAAAACCAAAGGAACATGATTAGAGGTGACCCTTGCTAAAACCGCCTGAACGACATCCGGGAATTTCTCTTCCCACTCTCCAGAAATCAAAAATCGATCCAATCTTGAAAGAGTGACTGGATCCCTGCCATTTGACCACGTATAGGCTACACCTTCCATTGGTAAATCAATGAGAAAATGCTCATCAATAAAGTCAAAAAAGAATTTTAGAGCTCATTTAATGAAAAAAAAAAAAAAGTTACCCACATGGGTATTCAGTTTTATTTCTACTTGTCTTAAACCCTTTTAATTCTAAAGGTTCTCTCCAAACCTCAAATTTGGCATTAACTCCTCTAGTCTCATCAACTAAAACAATATCATCGCCAAATAGTATACACCATGGAATCCCATCTTAGATGTGTCTTGTTAGCTCATCAATAACAAAGGCAGAAAGGTATGGGCTTAAAGCTGACCCTTGATTGGAAATTCACTTGTTTCCCCTACAGGCATTCTAACTATAGTCACACAACCATCATACATGTCCTTTATTGCGTCAATGTAACCGTTTGCATCTCCTTGATTTTCTAAAACCCTCCATATTAGATCTCTAGGTATCCTATCATAAGCTTTCTCCTAATCAATAAACTCATATGGAGATCTCTCTCTTCTCTCTATATTTTTCCATTAGTCTCCTCAATAAGTAAATTGCCTCCATCGATGACCTTCCCGACATGAATCCAAATTGATTTTCCGACACTTCAGTCTCTTGCCTTAGGCATTAATCAATCTCTCCCGAAGTTTCATGGTATGACTCGTTAATTTAATACCGCAAAAATTACTACAACTTTGTATGTCACCTTTTTTTTTGCCTAAATGAGATGTTGGGCTTTCATTAAAATCGGAAATAAAGTACAGGAGATAAAGAGGGAGCATACAACTTTGTATGTCACCTTTATTTTCATATATAGGCATTAGAATACTTTTGCACCACTCATTAGGCATCCTCTTAGTTGTTATTATCTTATTAAACAATTTTGTTAACCAAGACAAACCAACTTCTCCTAGACGCTTCCAAACCTCAATAGGAACGTCATCGGGTCCTAAAGTCCTTCCCGACTTCATCTTCTTTAAGGTATTTCTAAACTCCCACTCCTTGACCTGATGAAAAAGTATCTTATCTTATATTCATCAAAGCCTAAGCTTCCTATACGGTTTTCATTTAGCAATTTCTCAAAATAATTTTTCCATCTTTCTTTAATTTCATCATCTTTTACTAAAACTTGTGAATCTTCATTCTTAATACATTTAACATAGCTAAAATCTCTAGTTTTCCTCTCCGTTAGTTTAGCATGTGTATATATATTCTTCTCCCCTTCTTTTGTGCCTAGTTTAGAATTATGAGATCGCAATGCATAGAGATAAAATATTCAAGATCAAAGCCTTCATAAAATTCAGTGCAAGTCCTCAATTTAATTCTTCTCAATAAATTTTTTTATTTTTTTATTTTTTTGTTTTCCTAGTTGAGACTCACACACACTGCCTCCACTGAGGTTCGAACCTCTGACCTCCCTTTGGAAAGTAGGAGCCTTGTACCGCTAGGCCACATGCCTACTGGTATTCTTCTCAATAATGGCTTCTTTAGGAAATTTTTCCTTCACTAATTCAAAAAGGAATGTAGCTGCTTATTCCTAATATGCTACTTGTGCCGAGCACAAGAATCACAGGTGTATCGTTGAAACATGATGAGCTGGTAGAATCTCAGTGATATAAGTAAGCAGCACTATGAGAAATCCATTACTACAACAAGAAGAAGCCTTTTTCCCAACTACTTGGGGTCAGCTACATGAATCCTATGTTTCCATTCCGCTCACTATGAGAAATTCATTGCAACCAGAAAATGAGGAATCATACAAACTAAAAAATTTGAGTTCCACTGAACTTTTCTGCTGCCAATTGCCGCAAGTAACCAATAGCCGGCTGAATCATTTTAAAAGCATGTGGAATTGTCCAAGCCAACTGAATCATTTTAAAAGCAAGTGGTTCTTCAGACAAAATTCGATTCAAACTAAAAAAATGAAATATCTAGAATATGTGGCTTAACAGCACGAATAATAGATAAAACTAAGGGATATGCTTAGAGAAAGCAGAACGTATAAGCAAAAAATGCATTGATACACCAAATACATTTTTGAAATATAAACAGAAGTAAAGAAGATGAATGAAAGAACAAAAATAAAAATGCAAATGAATACTCAATTCAAATCAACAAAGACTTTTCTAGCTATTTGGGGTTGGCTACATAAATCTTGTTTTGCCATTCCGCTATATCTAAGGCCATAAATTCAATCAATCACATACCGTCAATGTGACTTCACCATACATTGCCAAACCAATTTAATCAATTTTCTCTCATTTTATCTGCAATATGTTCTATTTCAACAGAACCAAACTTTTTTTATTTTTGTCTTCTCTTGTAGTGGCACGCATCCTCTCAACATTCCCCATTTCTGTCTTGGATCACTTTATGAATATAATGTTTATTAGACACCCAATGATGTAGATGAATATGGGTATGTGTGTGTGTTAAATTTAAAGTTCTTACCAGGACTTTAGCTTGTCTCTTTTCCCATCGAGAGCTTGCCTGTCACATTGGATGTACTTCCATTAAAATGCAATCAACCATAAAATTATAAAAGGATTAGGAGGAAGCTACCAGTTCAACTATCTTTATCTGAAGAATTGTGAAGCTCAAGAATCATCATAACAAACATAAAGCCCTCTTAAAAAGGATTGTTCAAGTTTTTCATAATATGTGCTACTGTCAATTGATAATTGCTACAATTGCAGCACATATTCATTGACTTAGAAGCTAAAATTAATAAACTTCAAATTAACCACAGCCTTTTTGACATGTATTATATATATTATAATGCACTGTTAACCACCATCTACTCTAAAAGCTTAAGCTGCTAGAGAGGGTGTAACTTTAATATTTAAATCCTTCAACACGCCCCCTCAAGTGTGGCCATCTTTTGGTCCAACACGTCTTTCAATTTTAATTATCTGGGTAACTGAGGTTTGAACATAGAATCTTGCCTGCTCTGATACCATGTTAATTACCATCTACCTTAAAAGCTTAAGCTGTTGAGGGTGTAACTTTAATATTTAAATCCTTCAACATGCACGATGTAAATCAACACTGACGAACTAAAGAAGACGATCTCAACCATAAATCTATAAGCAGAAATTTTTTGAGTAAAGTTACTATTTAAAGAAATACCATAGAAGTGTTGAAGGAAAAATAAATAAACTTTCATGTAGTTACACCAGACAAGTTTAAAGCAGCTGATATAAGAGGTTCGCCTATTTTATCTTTTAAAACCTCACACATTTATCTGCTTCACACCCATACACAACCACAAGACCAATGGCAGCAATATTTTTCAGGCACAAAAAAATTTACCTAGATGACTGTCTTAACTTTACAACACAATTCATTTGTACGAAAGAAGTTTATTCATCTAATTGTGGATCAAAATTTTGTACTAAGCCCAAGCTGCAACTTCTGCTCTGGAGATTCACAAGGGCAAAGGGCAAAAGTAGGATGAGCAAACAACTAAGCTACTAAACTCGTGAACAAATTAAAAAAAGACGTATTACCGATCTGAAAACATCTGCAGCTGCAGATCCCATTCCTGAGAGCATCAGTCCGACCTGATCATCATTGACAAAAGAATATATAATTAGATATTTTTTATTTAGAATGAATGTGACAATGGAAACAAAAATAATCATGAACAGTCCCAAAGCATATATATATGTCTGTTAAACAAAAGAAAAGACATCTGCACATTTCTCACAAGAAAACCTTCGAAAGATATCCTATAAGAAATGATTTCAGAGATTGTTATCTATATCCTGGCAAAATTCTTTCTACAGATGGTATTAGCAGGAAAAATTCATCCACTAAGTTTCAAAGGATGCAACTCCCAAAGTTAAATTCTAAATTTTAAATCAAGCAGCCAGAGAAACCCAACAAAAAAATCGACTCTATATTAGTTTGAAATATTAGCAAAGTAATACTCCTCCATTCAGACTGAGTTGTTCATTAACGTCATCAACAGAACCCCTACTAACCCTTCATGTTAGACTTTATAACTCAAAATGGTTATAACAATAAAAAGCAATATACAAGCTAGAGAAGTATGTTCCTATTACTATTAGCACTCTCCCTGACTGGAAATCCACCTCCCTTGGTCCTCTCAGCAACAAAACCATGCCAGACAAATACAAGTTCTAGCAAGGTCCTGCAACTGACTTAGTGTGCTAATATCATACACAACATTTTGTTCTTAAAAATAACTATGTTTGATGTTCAAATCTCCTGTATGCTAGCATGCAAAACTTTTTTATCATTGAACAGCTGGAATAGACTAGCCTGGTCGAGGAAAACAGGGCATGTTAACCATTTTTTTTTTTTTTTTTTTTTTGTTTTGTAGTATGTTTCTTTCTGCGGGATTGTAGGCTAACCCTCCCCAGAAAATGACCCTTCACTAATTCCTGGTTGATACTCCATAAAAATTGAAGTTAGGCAACTACAAACCGACGAATTGACAAGTTATTAAGAAATTCAACGTAATGACATCACATCCATCAGATAAAGATAATAAATATAAAGTTGAAAGAAAGCAACTAAGTAATGACCATGTGCCTTACATTTACTCGTTCTACCCTCCGCATTTCATCTTCAAGCAAAGATAGTTGTGCAGCAGAAGTCCAATGGATGCAATCAACCGGACTGAGACGAAGAAGCATTAGTAATCTGTCTTTAAAAACTAATTAATCTTACTTAGCATACAACAAACACTATTATCATTTACTTGTTTGTATGTCTTGTTTTATGAAGATATACAGCTGTGAGAATATATCAGATTCGATAAAGGTCAAGTAACAGTTGTAGTAAAATGTAAATATTTTGGCGGCTCTGACAAAGGCACGAGTCATTTAAAAAGGCACGATGAAAACATTTAAGACAAGGAAATGCAGATATTATAACCCAAATGCAAATAGGCACAACCACAACAGGTGGTTTAACAAATTTTATTTTGATCCTCACCATGCACAATTGGAACTGGTTGACAACGTTGTTAGAGCTCAACAACCTTTTATTTTTTTCTCAAAAACATGATTTTGAAAAGTCTTATACGGCGACCGTGATGTTTCCAAATAAATCTATAAATACTGTGAAAAGAGAAGTGATAAGAAAATTTCGAGTGAAAAAAGATTTGTTAAAAAATATACGGAGTATTTTGCAAAATATCAACGTGTTATTTGTTTGACTCTAACTTGTGTCTTGTTTGACTCTGGACGTTATATAGAAGAAAATTGGAATTCAAATAAAATAATTATAACTTTTGTTGCATGCCAGTTCCAAACTACAGTGATGACATAGCAATGATTATAAAGAACCACTTTCAAATTGGGGTAATTAATAAAATGGCACAATTAGTTTAGATAATGCAAGTTACAATGACATAGGTAAGGCTAATCTTATTACATGGCCTAAACAAGCTCTTAGTGGTAAATTATTTCGGGTGTGTTGTTGCACCCACATTTTCAACTTAGTTGTACAGGATAGACGGGCAACAAGTAGCCATTCTATTGAAAAATTAGACTCACTATAAAAAAATATTAATTCATAAAGAAAAAGAGACATCCACAATACAAATTGGCTCATGAAGTGTATGATTTGTACCCAAAGAAAAATGAAATTGACATACCGCATAGTTGGAGCTCCCTGGTACTCTTTTGAACAGTGTGTTTAACATGCAATCTTGAGAGATGCTCCCAACCCTTACTAAAGATGATTGGTATGTTATTGAAGTTACTAGAGATTTCTTATATGTCTTTGATTATGCAACTCATGAATTTTCTAAAAAATATACATATCACCTAATATCTTGTTAGATAATTGAAACACTAGATCTAGTATCCATACTTGCCTAAGACAATACAATTGAATGCAACCATTGACCCAATGTTCACCAAATTCTATTAAATATTTTCTTAACATACCTGAAACCTTTGGGATTACTATATTTTTAGATCCTAGGAATCAATTTGAAGATTTAAAGTTTTGGTTGGTTTTTATCATCAAAACACAGATGATATTAACAGAAATATAAGAAGTTTAAAACATTTATTAATTCGATAATATCATTTTCAAAATGCTTCAGGTGACGTGAGGCCTATCCAACGCCGATCTCAACAATCTTTCTAGAACAAGGACAAAATTATTAATAAAGCGATAAACATTTTCAAAAAAGAGCAAACCAGATTCGTCTTCTTCTAGTAGTGATTACAACAAAATGTAGGTTTAAACTAAACAGCCATTAGAAGATGGCGACGAAGGGTTTGATATATTGGCGTGGTGGAAAAGACAGTAACTTAGAAGTCTTGTATTTTCTGCCCTGGCCAGTGCTATAGCAACCGTTCTTGTCTAAAAAGCATCAAAGACATATCTTAGTGCAAGTAATAGAGTGACCAGCAACCACCGTTCAAGATTGCAACAAGAAACAGTGGAAGAACTCGTGCACAGGCAACTGTGAACTAGCTGATAATAGACTGTAACAGGAGGAAAGGGATAGAGAGCTTGCTGAAAAACTAGAGGGTGTATTGTTGAATAGACGAGCATGGTCAGAGAAAACTCCCGAGAAGTGACGAATAAATAACGTATTTGGAAAAAGAATGTATAATTTTATTTATTTAATTTTTTTTTTTTCATAGAGAAGTGCAAATGATTGACAGATGAATAGATGCTGATTGAAACTAGTCTGGATGTAGCCATTCTGTAGTGATGCAGTTCCTCACCCCTGTGAAATGGAATTCTTTATTGATTCATATTTACCCAACTAAATTCTCCACTCTTCATTTATTTTTTTACTTCAATTATATACTAGTGTACTATGTATATAATCATACTAGCTCATATTTGAGTCTCTCCTCAGGGGTTGTCTCGAAATATTTGCGCGAGGATAAGAATTGCCAAAATTCAACAGGTTTTCTCTAAAATAGATTCCAAAGTATTAAACGACAAAGACTGATTATTCTTGCAATTCAATTCAAGCCCCATTAGAATCATATTACCACAAAATGAACAGAATATAGAGAAAGATTCTACCCTTTCTGTGCTTAAGTTTGTAGGCTCTACAACTAACATGACAAAGTCTACAGCATACCTTACGCGAGGAATGCTTTATAGAAATTTCTACAGCAGACCCCCGCGCGAGGACTTTCTAAAGCATACCCTATCTCGTTTGGCTAGCATAGTCAAATGTTTTATGCAAAATCTACAGCATACCCCTATGTTTGTAAAAATTGATATGAGGACTTTCTAGAGGATTAAAAGGATGGTTACATCATACGTTTGATCAACGCAAAACTCAACACCATACCCCTATGCAAGGAATGTCTTAACAAAAAATTTCAAAAGATAAATGTGGTCAAGAAAAATGAGAATCTTGAGATATAATGGACAAAATGCAGTAAAAAGTTAAGATAGAAATACATTCTCTAAGAAAGTCCCCAATCAGACATCTGCTTGCACACGAAGTACAAAGTCTTGAAAAATAAGATTAGAATTGGATTTTCACAAAGCCAGACAAGGACGGGAGTGAATATCTGTAATTTTTTTCTAAAAAAAAAAGGAAGCAACCTAACAAAATCCACAGAAAAAAATTTTAAAAAAAAAATTTACTTGCATTTTATACTATATCCATGAAACAGAAACTTACCAACTATCAATTGCTTGTTGAACTTTATCACGGTTTCCAGACTGGCTATATACCCTGGCTCTTCCAAAGTCTTCCTCGATACGAAATACATCTGGGGCCACATTGGCACAGTTTTTGCAACCTGTGAAAAAATATAGAGATACTGTAATTCCAATATCCCCATAACTCAGATATTGCTAAAACAGATGTCATTATAACTTCTATTTTGTTTTTTGTGTTTTTGATAAGTCAGTATAACTTCTATTTATCCACAGCAGGTACTACGTTTCTGGTTCAATATTAATTCTGAATAAAAATATAAGAATAGCATTACAAGTAAGGACATCTTAATCATGCAAAACAAATACACACAGAAACAGGGGTATATGTGCCTGTCATCAGAAAAAGTAAATATCCAAAGCCTTCCCACCTATCAGAAAATATCACTGACCTGCCTGAGGTATTATCCCCGACATCCTCTGTTATTGGATTCGGCATCATTTCTCATAAAGTTTCGACTTTTTGGTGGATATAAGTATTTCAGAGTCTAAATTTTAGGAGAACTATACAGTGAAATAACAATTGACATATTTTCAGAAATTTCCAGGGTAGCTGTCTGATATGTACAACATAAAAATCAACAGAACACTTCACATTCCAACTAGAACTGAAATCTCCAGACAATTGTATGTGCAAACTCCACCATACCTATGCAGCTAAACTCATCAACAAAAGCATGATCCTTTGAGCAGGAATCATCCAAGAAAGGATTTATTGCTGTCAGAGCATACCCATGAATTTCATCATAAACCATGCGCTGCACAGGATCGCTGAGAACCTACAGTGCAATAGTACATTTATAGTACATTTATAAAATTATGTATTCAGATCTTAAAGCATTCTAGTTCAAAGTGGAAACTCACTGCATAAACCTCATTGATGAACATGCAGAAATTTGTGGTATCCGGATCATTGCCACTCAAATCTGGATGGCAAGCTTTCATGCAATTATAATAGGCTTTCTTAATCTGCTCCGGTGTGGCATCTGGAAGCTGGTACATATATGAGGCGGCGATGGAATTATTAAACATCAACAAGGAAAAAGATGAAGAAAAACACTATTATAAGGGAAAGGGAATTTGAGCCTTAAGAATGAAGTAAAAAAATTGAAACATTGCAGGCAACCACTAGCACATATGGGCATTTACATAATGACTTTCAAAGTAAGTTTCTTCTGATGGAATACTACTGAAGACCAAGTCCTTTGAACAGTCATTCCATCCACTATGACAAAAATTTGTTCTAATAATGGAAACAAAAATATATGCATTAAAACTGCGTAACATGACTTTATCATGTATAATTCAAACACAAAAAATCCAAGAATATCATGGATAATGTACACAGTTCCCTAATCATTTACATGATTCCATATTATTCTAAATTAAGAAAGACAACACAATCACCTTGGTTGAACATACGCTTTCGTTCTCCCAAATCCATCACTCAGTTATCTCAAGTATACACAATGTTAATGTTACATTTTACATAAGGGTATCTTTCTCGCACATTTTCAAATGATTATCCAATTCAGTCTTCAATCCTAAATTATTTCTGACACAGTAATATCGGGATTTGGAATTCTAGCTAGATATCAATTCATTAAAAGGCAGACATAGAAATTCAGGAAGAGAAGTAATTAAAATACTCTGATTTGGATTAACCTAATATAAAAAATGGCATTGTTAGCATTTCTAATCAACGATGGCATCAACAATATCTACATCTATTCTGAAAATTTACTGAACCGAGTCAACATTGCTTGCAGTGCCTCGAATGGGCTAGACTTGTGTCACTCCATTCACTAAAAGCAGAATATCGGGTGGCAGTACCACCGACAAGAAGAAAAAAGGCTTGACCAAATGATACCACTTGTAACTCCAATAGAATCCTGATGCCCTCTTGCAAGCCTCTCATGGCAAACTTCATCTAATTAGTAAAATGTCAAGGGAGCCCGGAGTCGCACCCAAAAATGTAGCCCTCAACTTCTACTCAAAGAACATAGTCATAAAAATATACTTACTCACCTATAACGTAAGAATCCATCACATAAAAAGAACATAAAACTATATTTTTAATTACTTACAATGTAGGACCTTGGATATTTATTCAAGCCAACTGAAACACTAAATATGACAAGAAAAGGGAAAATTGATAAAACTTTACAGCAATTACTATTACAAATTGGTGTAGGATAAAAAAATAAAAAATAAAAAATTTCTGTAATTGCTCTAAAGAATGTATAATGAATCAAAAAATCCAAAAAGAACTAGGTTGTCCCCAGGAGGAAAAAAAAAAAAAAAAAAAAAAAAAAAAAAAAAAAAAAAAAAAAAAAAAAAACTACCTATAATACTCAACAGCACCTGAACAAAACTTATGGGAACTATATATCAATTTTAATTTCTTTACCAAGTAAGGTTTAGAATAAATCCCAACAGGACAGCTAGGTTGGCTAGAATCTCAAGGTGATAACCAAGAGGTCTCAGGTTCAACTCCTCCTGGGCTTACCTGATACATGTAGCTTTTGGGTGGTTGCATCTATCCGAAGGGAATAGTCCTACTCCAACCGGAGTGGGGACACCCTCGTTGTAAAATAAATAAATATATATGTATGCGTGTATATATATATATATATAGAGAGAGAGAGAGAGAGAGAGATTTAGTTTAACAAGTATTGTATCCATCATAGAAATTACTAAACTAATAGTGAAGTGCTAAAATCTTTTTTGGAGTGAATGATCCTTCTCCTTCTAATACTTAACTAACAAGTTTGCAATGGCTTCACAACTGCATCAAAGGATATAAAGATTGGGTCGTATCAAAATAACATTTAAAACTACTATTATACCAAATTACTGTCACTGTTATTGGAAGTAATATACTAATAGTGAAGTGTTTTAATTTCTTTTGACTCTTGAGTTCCCCTTCTACCGTCTGCAAGCATGTTTGCTGTGCCTTAATGACTGCATGAAAGGTTTTCAAGACTGCCGTATAAAAATGTCATTTACGGTATAGGGTTGAGAATAGTGAGACGCGATAGCAAGTAAGATGGTGGAGAAAAGAACAAACTTCGCACAACTACATGTACTACATAGAGGCCATGGCCTACCCCTGCGATTTTATGAATTTCTTAAAATTAATTAGGGTCACTGGCATTGATGCCACATAACTCACACAATATGCATTAATATTCCTTTTAATATTTACATCCCATCCCAGTGGCATTGATGCCACATAAGTCACACAATATGCATAAATATTCCTTTTAATGTTACATCCCATCCCAGAAAACCTTCTCACACCCCAACCACAGACACAGAGATGTTCAGCTACTGAAAATACAACCCCCCCCCCCCCCCCAACAAACACACACACACACACACAGAGTGTTAAGAAACAGCTGTTTAGAGTGTGACATCTATACATTGATATTTTTATTTAGACCAGTTCCAGATTGAATATCGGATACGAGATCAGGAAACAGCTGGTGATTGGAGAATAGCTGATAGGAAACATAAAGAAAACAAACATTACCTAAATATGGAAAGACCTTATTTAACAAAAGTGTTGGGAAACCCCATCCTCAGAGTCTCAATTCAAATGGCATATGTCAATATTTTATTTCATTAAATCAACAACTCATATCCAAGGAATTTCCCTTAACCATGCGTGTTATTTGTTTTCAAAAAATGCTTCCCACTTCCAATTTCTTCTCCTATTCCCATTTCCCAGACTATTACCTATGATTAAAACCAAAATTGTTCATTCAACACATTCTTGATCTTTTGTTTTAAAAACCTTAACGGAGGTGCACTAGTTTGAGGGAATTCTTCAAATTAGTCATGAAATTTAACTACATATCAGTTTAGAGACCATTAGTACGTGTATAACACAAGATATGCCATACAATACAATATTGCAAAACTGAAACGCCATAGAAGTTAATTAGATTTCACATCTCACAGTCACATACCTTGCCCATAAAACATATAAGAAAAGGAGAAAGCCGCAAACATCTGAAGTGTCAGACAACCGGAAAATGTATCATCATTATTCAATCACCATATGAAGTCCATAAAATCATGAAAATATGTTTGTTAGAAAACCAGTCCACACTTGATTTGGCAACATAAGGTGCAATGAACCATCCAACTTACTACAGCCAAAACAAGGCACATGCAACTCTGTGCTATAAATTTTGATACTGCTGCTCAAAATACAGCAAAACGGGAGGTTGCGAGTCTGTTTGGTGTAGTCTTCTAAAAGCAGTTCTCAAGAACTCGGAAAACAGTTCTGTTTTCTGAGAACTATAAAATACTGTTCTCTAAAAACAATTTTCAGAAAATTGCCAACCAAACAAATTTTTGTACTGTTTTCTGATCTTTAGTTCTCTGAAAATATAAAACAATTCTAAGAAAACAAAATTAAATAGGCCCTACAATTCTTATTTCCCTATTTTGGTTGCTGGAAGTGACTGTAGGCAGTGCAGGATGCTATCTATTCCAATAACTTTCCTAGACCTATGAAAAACAAGGACACTAATATGGATGTCAGATACAATATCCTGTAACGATACCAATAGTTTAATGTGAATTGTGACAGATGTTAAACCAAAAACCATGATAAATGAATATTTATGGTGTGATATGCAAGAAGCATAATTGCTACAGAACAGTAGAGCTACTTCTAACCAACATCACTCACTAGGAAATAATATTTTCCAATTCTGTTTGATGACAATTGCAAAGTTTTTAAGGCCTCGGAAACCATAGACCTTTAACAAAGGATATAATCCAAAAGAGGCAAAACCGGAACCCCATATTGGGTGTAAGTAAACAGATTAAATCCACTAACAAATCCAATTCGATAATTAGACACATCAACTTTAGCCTAGTTATATCAAAAAAAAACTTTAGACTAGTTAGAATCCAAATGTTGACAGTCAGACATCCAGTCCGATGATCGATCCTATCCAATAAGAAATGATAGATCGCTTTAGAAATAAATTTTTCTGAAGTGAGTTTTATGAAATTAAATTAAAATTTTAATAGCATAATGGCTTTACTAAATTATTAACCATAAAAAATGTATAGATATGAATCTCTTTCATGTATTTCAATTAAATATATACACATAATGAGCAAATAATTAATATAAATAAATTATTTTTTCTACCAGATCAGATCATTATTTCTATTAATTAACTGATCAGTCAAATTAACAGATCACAAATCTTTCACTAAATCTGGATTGTCGTATCTGATTCAAATAAAATCCGATCCATTAACAAACATAATCACATACTACTTACTAGGGGAACAAGTTTTACCCGCCAAAAAAAAAAAAAAACTATTGATACTCCGATATATTTAAACTCCTTTTAATAAAAAGTCAAGTATGTAATTTTCTCACATAACCAGTTCAACCATAAGAATAGGCCTAAGCATTACCTAAGTTGGAATGTTGCCGTAAATGATTAGCTAGCTTGATATCACAATACATCATTCTTTATTATTGAAAGCAAACGAAAAATTTCAAGAATGGGGCATAATTTCTATCCTTTAAGTAGTTCTCACATTTTCCCGAATTAAGAATACCATCATGAGATACAACAGTACACTAATCATATATCTAGTTTGGCTGCCTTAGAATTAGAACTCCAACCACAACATCAGACCCTCCAAGCTAAAAAAAAAAATGAGCAAGCCAATTTCAAAATAAAACTCCTACAAAACAATATTCCACAAGCCAGACTTCACCTCATTCCTCATTGTAAAGAAAAATTGGCAACTCAAAACACAAAAGATTTATTCACATAACAAACACAAATTTAAACCGACCTGATGCGCGTAACAAACACAATTTTCGCCATCTACATGTAACAAACGCAAATTTTGCCAGCTACACACACAAACAAAAGTTATATATGTACACATACATATATATGTGTGTGTGTGTATGCATGTGTATTTATGCATGTATATATTTATGTATGCTTGACAGCCTTGACTTGGATCAACTCAACTCAACATAGCCTTTTCTCAAACTACTTGGGGTCGACCACATAGCCTCACTACCGAAGACCATAGCCTCACTCAAAGGAAATGTTAACTACATATCCTTCCAGACTAACTCTTAAATCTTGATCTTCCGCTTCACTTAGCATTACCCTCTATATGGTCACTCTCCCTAACTGGTGCACTTTGTACATGTTCAAATTATCCAAATCGATCTTCTCTTAATTTGTCTCCAATTGATGGTACTTCAACCATTTCATGAATATGCTCATTTCTAATTTCATGAATATGTAATTCGGAGAGAATATTGTGCACAAATCATCAATACTTATATATATATATATATATATATATATATATATATATATATATCATTCTACCCAAAAAAAAAAAAAAAAAAAAACAACAGTACAAAATATAAAGAACATACAGCGATAAAATCAGACATTTCAATTAGAAGAGAATCAACAAAGGCAGAAAAATTGATGCAGTACCAAACCCAGAACACCATAATAGTCATCAGCAATTGCCTCCGACTGCGCAACCTTGACTCTGCCGAAGCCTCTCCGCCTTCCACCATGGCCCACCACACCCCAACTCACACTGCTGTTGGCTGACAAGCACCATCTGCTTCTTGAGCAGAAACTCTGTGATGGGTTTTGGAATTTGAGAGCGTCTGTGCACACTGGAGACAGTAATTGGGCCATTAAAGCATGCAACAAAAAAGAATCAATATGGCATGTAGGTTTTTGAGTCCGTGAAACACGGAGAGAGAGAGGAGAAGGTATAAATGAAAAGAATTAGAGATTTTTTGGGGTTTAATTAAAAATACTTAAAATTTTGAGGAGGGAAAAATCAGTGTGGAAATAGGGGGATGATGAGATGGCAAGCTTAAGGCCATGTGTTTTCCAAGAATCTAGATTCTAGGCCAACAACTACGAATGAATCTGAGTCTGGCTCGTGCCAAGGGATGGTTTGCTAGAATGTGGCCACGTGTCGCCTCGTGCATAATGTATACTTGCACGCTTCCTGCAATTTTTTTGTCAACACTAATACTAGTTAGTCGATTTCTTTAGCAAGAATAAAGGCGTGATTGATGGTCCCTATTGTTGTTTTTCAGAAGAGAATTTGAGCTCCTTGGATAGGACGACCTGAACGTTAGAATTTTAATAATTTTTTTTTAAGATTAATTGTATTAAACTTTTATTTTTGGGTTGGTTGCAGATAACTTCTTTTACCATTCATTTTTGCATTTATCAACGGCCATTTAAAAAGTGTGTATGTAAATGGTTGTTTTTCTTGTCATGAAAAATAATAAAAATAATTTGCATCTAATTCATCGTAGGCTTATAGCCTTATAGGTTACAAAGCTATGAATGTTAGTTAGTTATACATAGTTTTCTTAAATGATCATTTTTCCTTTATGATTAGATTTTTCTAAAATAACCATTCAATTTTGCATTTTATGATGTGGAATGGTTAAATGCCACCTTTTGGATTCAGCTGAAAATTTGGTATCCTAAAAGCATTCATGCTTTCCCTACCCCCTAGGGAAAGGTCCTTCCTTTCTGGTCCGATTGTGGGCGAGGAGAGATTCAAACCCCCGACACCGTGGTTCATAGTCACGTGCTTTAATTCTCTGAGTTATGGGCCACATCCTGTCTTCACTGAATATGTTCCCAGACTATCCTTAAAAAATAAACATTTCCTCTCCCTAGTCATTTTGGATTAAAAAGATGTAAAAGCAATTTTCTTTTTAAGCAATGAAATTGTTGAAGAATAATTTGTTAAGGGATAATTTCGTCTGAAAAATTCCCTCAGACAATTACTTAAATGGACATCAGTTAAAAATACACCCTTGAAATAGTTGAGGTGAATTTTTTGTCAAAAATATTCATAAAGAGTTTTTCGTAACTAACTAATAGTCTAGGGGGATTTTTTGCAATTCGCCCTTATTAGTGTGTGTGTGTGTGTGTATATATATATATATATTTTCCTAGCAACAACAACAAGCCGAACAGAACTTACATAACACCATATACAACCAAAACACCGAACCACATCAAAGCTACACAAGAAGAGGAACCAAACCAACAAATCCCTAGACACACCACCTGAAACCACACCAAAACTCAAGGCTAAGCTTTGAGGAGCCCGAAGAACTTCAACTGGTTTAAGAGAATCTAGGTGGGTTTGCCCCCACAAGCATCACTAACTGTGTAGTAAAGGACGAGACAAAGAGGAATCTAACTGACATGATTCACCATTTGGACCCCCAAATTTGCCAGTGGAAGCAATATGAGGACAAACCATAGCACCATGAGACCCAGTGTCACAATGCAAACTGACCTCAGGATGAATAACCACAATTTTGTGCTTCATTCCTCCCAAATGATAATGGCCAGAGAACCACTAAAAAAAGTTTAATTTCGCTTTCAACCACTTCTTGACGATGGAGATCCCCTACTCTTGGAAGATGCGGAACTAACATCTTGACCCTCCAAAAAATGAGGTGCCAACTCTTTCTCCTTCAACCTACCCTTAGTCAGCTGATCCCAGCGAGCCAGAAGTAGAATTCTTCCCTTAACCTGGGAGCTAATATACTCACCTTGCATAAGCTCGTCTAGTTGCACCGATGCCACATGACTCTGGGATGAAGATCTTTGCACCAATCTTCCATCTTGCCTATAGACAGGATCATTAAGCAGAATAAACTCCGCTGCCAACTATTTCCCCATTAACTCATTGACCACTTACCCAGTAACCTGCATCTTATCATTAAAACACTCCCCTGTACCATCCCCAACAACCATCCCGGATTGTCTACCCAAAATAGAAAAAGCCACCGCGCCTCCCTCTGATTTATCCAAATGAGAAGGCCCAGCCAAGTGGCAAGTCATACCCCTCCACTCCTGCAGTCTACTAGGAGAAGAGAATAAATTAGGCTGCCCAACCTCATCGCCCCTATCCAATTCTCCATCCTCCATATACAACCAAGATTTAGTAGCTCCAGAAACTGAGGCATCAACCCGGTCACCATCCAGATTCCAAAGATCCTTACCAATAAATCCGTCCACTCCTAACTCTAACCCATACTCCTTCAATTTCGCCTGAGAAAGGTTATTGCCAAACGGACAACACTTCCAGTGGTGACCGATAATTCCAAACGCAAAATAGAATAAAGGCAACTTTTCATACCGAATTTGAGCTTAAGACTCCGACCCCGATGGACTTGTCAACATGACTTGACGTTTAAAGGGTTTAATAATATCCATCTGCACTTTTAAACGTAAAACCCTATTGTCAACAAGCACTTTCTCTTTGCCATCAAACATACCTTTATCCCTAAGCTGCACCTTTAAGCATCTACCTAGGTTTTCAGCAATCCTTTACCCCACCTTCATAGAAAGAAAGTTTGCATTCATATCGAAAATTTGAATCCAAAAAGAAGAACTTTGAAAGGGAGAATTAGAGAGGAGCAAACCTTCCTCCCACTCCCTAATCACAAGGAGATGCCCGTCAAAAAGCCATGGACAACCATTTAAAATACGCTGGCGAACAGCACTGTCAGTAATGATTAGTTGGAAAAGATTCATTGTTACTTTAAATACCTAAAGACGCTTCGAGAGGGCCTCATTTTGAGTTTCCTTCGGCCATAAATTGTGAAAATTTTTGCCAAAAGTATATTTAGCTCCGTCCAACGTGGTAGTTTTAGATGCCCAAATCTTGCCAAAGAGACTGGCTACACACATGAACACTTTGAGCAGTGTCGTCAGTAGATAAAAGGACTAGGTCCTTCTTTGCCTATGTTAAAGTTAGCCAATGAAACTAATCTACAATATACGGCTTCATAGAGCTCCTAACAAGGAAAGAAAGTAAGATAAAAACAACTAACACACCCCAGCACCAAATCAGTTTCATACACAATTTATAAGGACACCAAAATTGGCTTACTGGGTATGCAACTAGAGTAAAATATTGCACTGAAATAGATAGAAGGTTTGTAAAAATGGACTGCTAAACAAGATGACGCCACACAATAGACGTGGCACCTGAATTAAGCATGAGCCACCACCAATTCCCAAGTATGACATCACCAACTAAGGCGTAAAGAGTACGTTAAGTTCTAATAGCCATATGATATAGATCATAGGTCTGAAGATCAATAAAGTTTACCTGACCCAGAGATATGATTAAAGTGGTGGCCTACAACAACTTTCGATGTTGCACGTGCCCCTGGCCCACCACGTACCACCACGAGTCGTCCCAAACACGCTTCGGCAACAACTCTCCCCTCCAGTCTGGAAAGGACGCCGCTGACCATGGGAAACGAACCATCCAAGCCATGGGCAGTTTATAGAGAAAACCACTAAAGTAAACTCGTATCAGCAATAACCCAAATGTATACCCCAAGTTAATGAACTTATCAATCCCCACAGAAAGGAAAAACACCACAATCCATTACTCTTTGCCAACAAATCAAAGATCTAGCCCTCCCATATGCAAACACACCTCAACAGGCAAAGAAAATTGTCACAGAACAGACCATTCATATCCCCTACACTTCGAACCAGAACCCCAACTAATTGAATCAGCCAATAGATAGGCAACAAAACAAGACCTAGAGGGATATAAAACAGAAAATGCATCGGCGGCATAAAACTCCACCAGATCCTAATAAAAACAGTGACCGTCGCAACAACGAGATGATACCAAGAGTTTCCACAACTAGGCGACATAATAGATCTAAAGCTAGTAACATAAACACAAGCCACCCCACCAAAGAATGAAACCGCAGCAAGAACACACACCAAGATCCCTCCAATAAGCGACCCAATAACTGACAAAAAACCCACAAAAACGATCCACTCGTCCACCCAAGACCAGACGATCAGATCAGCGACAACAAGAGAAAACAACCACCACGGCAAAGATCAAAGCAAGGATAAAACCAAAACAATCACACAACTCTCGACAAAAGCGAGAACCGTCTGCAACCCAGATAACCTCGACAAAGGCGAGGAGACTTTTTTAGTATATGCACAAACCAAAATAAATTAAAAAGGTGTATCATTTCACTTTTGCTAAACCCAACTTTTTTCCTTTTTCTTTTCCTTCCCTTTTTATTTTTCTTTCTAAATTTTAATGCCTACAAGCATCTCCAGTAATTATTATTTTTTATCTCTCGCAATCTGTTAGAGCATCTCCAACCGTTGTATATATTTTTTTTGTAAATCTGATGTGTTATGATAGATTTAAATAAAAATTTTGGATTATTCATTTTTAGATCTAGTGGTTGTTTTATACTTTTTGTATAAAAATAAATCCACTAATAACAATCAACCAGTATCATGTATGGATCCTACATAATTTTTATAAACCTACTTAATATAGGGTTGATTCGTTAATGGAATGAGAAAGAGGAAAAAAAAAATACTAATGTGGCTATGTAAAAAGGTTGTGTAAAATACACAACAATTTTATATATTGGTGACGTGACAGTGTATTTTAACCTACTGTTGGAGATAAAAAATAAATAAAAAATTACACATCATACATGGTGACGATGGCCGTTCCTATACGCCAAAATAATGTAATGAATGTATGGTTCAAGAAAAGCCTTTTGGGTCAAGTTTAAATTTATAAAAACCACTACCACCACTACTACTAACGTAGCAAGAGTGAGTAGGGATCGTCCCAAGGGATTGGAGGGTTACTAGCAATGAAAACAATGCTTAGGGTTAGTAGGTTGAGTGATCAAAGGTAGATTATTTGGTTGATTAAACTACAATTAAGATTAAGCAAGCTCAATATAAAACAAGTAATTAAAGGATAGAGAAAACAAGAGAGAGAGGTCTTGGGACTTAGAGATCACCACTAAGCATCACCTTTCTATACACTCAATTCACAATTAATGAGGGGAAAAACA